GTTGTGTAGTGGAAGCTAGTGTAGTGGAGGCTAGTGTAGTGGAGGCTAGTGTAAGTGGAGGCTAGTGTAGTGGAGGTAGAGAAAGTGGGAGGCTAGTGTAGTGGAGGCTAGTTTTAGTGGAGGCTAGTGTAGTGGAGGTTTAGAGTAGTGGAGGCTGTTTTAGTGGAGGCTAGTGTAGTGGAGGTAGTGTAGTGGAGGCTAGAGTAGTGGAGGCTAGTGTAGTGGAGGCTAGTGTAGTGGAGGCTAGTGTAGTGGAGGTTTGAGTAGTGGAGGCTAGTGTAGTGGAGGCTAGTGTAGTGGAGGTAGAGGAAAACCAGATTAAAATATGATTTGAGGGGGAGGAGGGGGGAGGAGGGGAGGGGGGATTGGGGGGGGGGGGGGATAGTGTGTGTCAACACAGGTGGCCCGGGCCCCGGACCGGATGTAAGGGTAAGTCCCTCTCTCTATGAGACAGGGTAACTCCCTGTCTCTAAGAGGCTGGGTAAGTCCCTCTCTCTATGAGACAGGGTAACTCCCTGTCTCTAAGAGGCTGGGTAAGTCCCTCTCTCTATGAGACAGGGTAACTCCCTGTCTCTAAGAGGCTGGGTAAGTCCTCTCTCTATGAGACAGGGTAAACTCCCTGTCTCAAAGAGGCTGGGTAAGTCCCTCTTCTATGAGAACAGGGTAATCCCTGTCTCTAAGAGGCTGGTAAGTCCCTCTCTTTTATGAGACAGGGTAACCCCCTGTCTCTAAGAGGCTGGGTAAGTCCTCTCTCTATGGAAGGGGAAAAACCCCCTGTCTCTAAGAGGCTGGGTAAGCCCCTCTCTCTATGGGGACAGGGAAAACTCCCTGTCTCTAAGAGGTTGGGTAAGCCCCTCTCTTATGAGACAGGGAAAACCCCCTGTCTCTAAGAGGCTGGGTAAGTCCCTCTCTCTATGAGACAGGGTAACTCCTGTCTCAAAGAGGATGGGTAAGGGTCCCTCTCTCTATGAGACAGGGTAACTCCCTGTCTCTAAGAGGCTGGGTAAGTCCCTCTCTCTATGAGACAGGGTAACTCCCTGTCTCTAAGAGGCTGGGTAAGTCCCTCTCTCTATGAGACAGGGTAACTCCCTGTCTCTGAGAGGCTGGGTAAGTCCCTCTCTCTATGAGACAGGGTAACTCCCTGTCTCAAAGGGAGGCTGGGTAAGTCCCTCTCTCTAAGAGCGGGTTAAGTCCCTTCTCTAAGAGGCAGGGTAAGTCCCTCTCTCTAAGAGGCAGGGTAAGTCCCTCTCTCTAAGAGGCAGGGTAAGTCCCTCTCTCTAAGAGGCAGGGTAAATCCCTCTCTCTAGGAGGCAGGGTAAGTCCCTCTCTCTAAGAGAGAGGGTAAGTCCTTCTCTCTAAGAGAGAGGGTAAGTCCCTCTCTCTAAGAGGCAGGGTAAGTCCTTCTCTATGAGGCAGGGTAAGACCCTAAGAGGCAGGGTAAGTCCCTGAGAGGCAGGGTAAGTCCCTAAGAGGCAGGATAAGTCCCTAAGAGGCAGGGTAAGTCCCTAAGGGGCAGGGTAAGTCCCTAAGAGGCAAGGTAAGTCCCTAAGAAGCAGGGTAAGTACTGTCAGGTCCCCAGAGGGACCTGTCTTTGACTAGTAGACCTGAATGATCTGATTTTCAGCATTCAGGGACCTGACTTATCCCTGAGGAACCTATCGACCCTAGTGGCGAGAGGAGACACGATTATGACGTAAATAATCCTTAAAGAAAGTCAGTGCGTCGGAGAGGCTTCCGGAAATCAAGCTTCGGGAGATGAGATGGCTTCATAATGATTATAGTTAGGCGCTAGACCCGTTGGGGTTGTTCAGAGCCTGGGGAAAGGGTGGGTTATCAGGTCTGATCCAGGAATGAGAGAAGCATGTCCCAGTTTCCCTGATTAGCATGAGGGAATTACCCCCAGATAGCTTTTAGAAAACCTCCGGAAGCCTGGAGGGACTCCCAGAACACAGGAAACCTGGAACTGAAACCCTGGAACCTTATAGAAACCCCTAGAGCCTGGAGGGACTCCAGAACACAGGAAACCCGGGAAAATGAAACCCTGGAACCTTATAGAAACCCCCTAGAAGCCTGGAGGGACTCCCAGAACACAGGAAACCGGGAACTGAAACCCTGGAACCTTATAGAAACCCCCTGGAAGCCTGGAGGGACTCCCAAAACACAGGAAACCGGGAACTGAAACCCTGGAACCTTATAGAAACCCCCTGGAAGCCTGGAGGGACTCCCAGAACACAGGAAACCTGGAACTGAAACCCTGGAACCTTATAGAAACCCCCTGGAAGCCTGGAGGGACTCCCAGAACACAGGAAACTGGAACTGAAACCCTTTGGGAACCCTTTTAGAAACCCCCTGGAAGCCCGGAGGGACTCCCAAACACAGGAAAAACCGGGAACTGAAACCTGGAACCTTATAGAAACCCCTAGAAGCCCGGAGGACTCCCAGAACACAGGAAAACCGGGGAAATGAAACCTGGAACCTTTTTAGAAACCCCCTAGAAGCCTGGAGGGACTCCCAGAACCAGGAAACCGGAACTGAAACCCTGGAACCTTATAGAAACCCCCTGGAAGCCTGGAGGGACTCCCAAAACACAGGAAACCGGGAACTGAAACCCTGGAACCTTATAGAAACCCCCTAGAAGCCTGGAGGGACTCCCAGAACACAGGAAACCTGGAACTGAAACCCTGGAACCTTATAGAAACCCCCTGGAAGCCTGGAGGGACTCCCAAAACACAGGAAACCGGGAACTGAAACCCTGGAACCTTATAGAAACCCCCTAGAAGCCTGGAGGGACTCCCAGAACACAGGAAACCTGGAACTGAAACCCTGGAACCTTATAGAAACCCCTGGAAGCCTGGAGGGCTCCAGAACACAGGAAACCTGGAACTGAAACCCTTGAACCTTATAGAAACCCCCTGGAAGCCTGGAGGGACTCCCAGAACACAGGAAACCTGGAACTGAAACCCTTGAACCTTATAGAAACCCCCTAGAAGCCTGGAGGGACTCTCAGAACACAGGAAACCTGGAACTGAAACCCTGGAACCTTATAGAAACTCCCTGGAAGCCTGGAGAGACTCTCAGAACACAGGAAACCTGGAACTGAAACCCTGGAACCTTATAGAAACCCCCAAGAAACCTGGAGGGACTCTCAGAACACAGGAAACCTGGAACTGAAACCCTGGAACCTTATAGAAACCCCCTGGAAGCCTGGAGGGACTCCCAGAACACAGGAAACCTGGAACTGAAACCCTTGAACCTTATAGAACCCCCCTGGAAGCCTGGGGGACTCTCAGAACACAGGAAACCTGGAACTGAAACCCTGGAACCTTATAGAAACCCCCTGGAAGCCTGGAGGGACTCCCAAAAACACAAAGGAAACCTGGAACTGAAACCCTGGAACCTTATAGAAACCCCCAAGAAACCTGGAGGGACTCCCAGTACCAGCAAATCTTGAATAAAAACCCAGAAACCTTCTAGAAACCCCCCCTGGAAGCCTTGAGAAACCTCTATACTGTTGAATATAGAGATTTTACAATGAAAGGGCAACAGGTCACGCCGTTTATTTTTACTAAAAATCCTGTTATATTTACTGTGTAATGCACTTGTAAATCTGTGTAAATCTGTGTAAAACAGCAAATCTTGTAAACAACTCATAGGCCTATAGATTATAGCACGTTTGGCCTATCTAATAGTTATGAAATATAGATCTGTATTCTTTCTAATAAGCTGAATTATTTAGTAAGTGCAATTATCATACTTATGTGTAACAGGTACACATAAGTGCAGTTAACATGCTGATAAATTAGACACATGTGCAACTCTTGGGTCTCTTTATTGAGGAAACGTTTCGCCACACAGTGGCTTCATCAGTCCATACAAAGGAGAATCTTGAAGAACAGGAGGAGAATGAGGTAATCAGTCCCTCAGCCTTGAGTTGATGTGGTCAGTCCATCAATCGACTCAAGGCTGAGGGACTGATTACCTCATTCTCCTCCTGTTCTTCAAGATTCTCCTTTGTATGGACTGATGAAGCCACTGTGTGGCGAAACGTTTCCTCAATAAAGATACCCAAGAGTTGCACATGTGTCTAATTTATCAACGTGTCGGTTCCCTGAACCATTCATCTACACAGTTATCATGCATAATATATGTAACAGGTACACTTAAGTATAGTTCTCTACATAGTAACATATGTATAAATTACCAATCAGGAGAATCCCAAAAAGTCAGAGTGACTTATTTCCAATGGGGTCGAGGACTGTCTTATTTCCTTGGCTTATTTCCAGCAGCTTAGCCGTTGCTGTGTTTACCATTGCTATGTATGGTGCAAGAGACGGTTGCAAGCATTGTGCAACGTTTATTTGCGAACGTTGCGACGGTTTGTCGCTCAAATCTGGCGAAATATATGGATTGCCAAGGTTGTTAAAGGCTGACGTGGTGGCCAGCCTTCAACACATGCGCGCGTAAAATTGCCAGATTTTCCTGCGCGCCAGTTTTCTCGTCGACGCAATATGGTGGCTGTTTTCTGGCGTTTTGGAGGGTCGGGGATGCGATTTTATTAGGCAACGATGTGCAGTATGTCTCAGTGTGATATGTAACATTATGTAGGAACCTGCTGCGATGTCCATAGGGGTGAAAAAGGCGTGTCAAGTGGATGTGAAGTCCATCCTCGAACGCGTTCCAGAGTGATGACGTCATAGAGCCTCACAACTGCCAATCAGGGACGTAAACATTACGCCCACGTGATGAAGTAGTACCTCCCACTCCAAATATTCCCATTAAAACCCAAATTCGAGCCTCTAAAAACCCAACTACCCCCTTCGCAATGCGAGTTACCACAACAGCACCTCAAATTTCGCAACACACCGAACTAAATAATCGTTATATAAGGAAAAACAAGGTGTTCCCATTCCAACAGTTGATGCGCGGGCTTTTCCTGCCGGCGGAGTGATACAGTAAGAGGTTGTAAGTAGAGAACAAAACATTCAGTAGTAACCTAGACGTGGTGGAAAGTGGACGTGTGTTGAACCTCCTCCTTACATTTCTCAATGTAAACACACCCATATGGAGAATAAATACAGGATTTACCAATGTAGGAAACCCCAAGGCGGCGTAATACGTCATCTGAGTCACCTCACCAGTGGAGATATCTGCCTAAACATCAATATTTACACCAACAAAGATGTTTATGCAGAGAATGTTTAACGTTCTCTCACAAAATTCAAACCTTCCAGTAGATAGAAGTAAACCTAGACAAGTGCCTAACGGTAAGTCCTATATTCCCGCCCCTTAACTACGCCTTCCTCACCCTTATGTTCCTATTTTTTTAAGCAGATTTCACAGATGTAAACATTGGGGTGAATTTAATGTAATTTCGACTTTATTTACGGTGGCAATAAGGGTTATAACGGATGTGGTGTTTATATAACTGTAAAGTGCACATTTAGTGCGCAAATGTGCGCCCAACAGGGTGCTTGATCCGAGGGACGGGAGCTATACTCCTCTCCCTTGGATCAAACAAGGTTTTTTGTTCATTATTTAGAGTAATACTATTAGTCTAGTATTACTACTACAACTACTACCATTACTACTACTATCACAACTACTACCATTACTACTACTACTATTGTTACTACTACAACTACTACCATTACTACTACTATCACAACTACTACCATTACTACTACTACTGTTACTACTACAACTACTACCATTACTACTACTATCACAACTACTACCATTACTACTACTACTGTTACTACTACAACTACTAGCATTACTACTACTACTGTTACTACTACAACTACTAGCATTACTACTACTACTACAACTACTAGCATTACTACTACTACTAGCATTACTACTACTACTATTGTTACTACTACAACTACTAGCATTACTACTACTACTACTACTACAACTACTAGCATTACTACTACTATCACAACTACTAGCATTACTACTACTACTGTTACTACTACAACTACTAGCATTACTACTACTGTTACTACTACAACTACTAGCATTACTACTACTATCACTACTACTAGCATTACTACTACTACTATTGTTACTACTACAACTACTAGCATTACTACTACTACTACTACTACAACTACTAGCATTACTACTACTATCACAACTACTAGCATTACTACTACTACTGTTACTACTACAACTACTAGCATTACTACTACTACTACTGTTACTACTACAACTACTAGCATTACTACTACTACTACTGTTACTACTACTACTACTACAACTACTAGCATTACTACTACTATCACAACTACTAGCATTACTACTACTGCTACTACTACTACAACTACTAGCATTACTACTACTATCACAACTACTAGCATTACTACTACTACTACAACTACTAGTATTACTACTACTACTATTGTTACTACTACTACTACAACTACTAGTATTACTACTACTATCACAACTACTAGCATTACTACTACTACTACTACAACTACTAGTATTACTACTACTACTATTGTTACTACTACTACTACAACTACTAACATTACTACTACTATCACAACTACTAGCATTACTACTACTATTACTACTACTATCACAACTACTAGCATTACTACTACTATTACTACTACTATCACAACTACTAGCATTACTACTACTATTACTACTACTACAACTACTAGCATTACTACTACTACTATCACAACTACTAGCATTACTACTACTATTACTACTACTATTACTACTACTATCACAGCTACTAGCATTACTACTACTATTACTACTACTACAACTACTAGCATTACTACTACTACTATTATCACAACTAGCATTACTACTACTACTACTACTATCACAACTACTAGCATTACTACTACTACTACTACAACTACTAGCATTGCTACTATTACTACTACTACTATCACAACTACTAGCATTACTACTACTATTACTACTACTATCACAACTACTAGCATTACTACTACTATTACTACTACTACAACTACTTGCATTACTACTGCTACTACTACTATCACTACTAGCATTACTACTACTACTACTATCACAACTACTAGCATTACTACTACTATTACTACTACTACTACTACTATCACAACTACTAGCATTACTACTACTGTTACTACTACTACAACTACTAGCATTACTACTACTATCACAACTACTAGCATTACTACTACTATTACTACTACTACAACTACTAGCATTACTACTACTACTACTATCACAACTACTAACATTACTACTACTATTACTACTACTACAACTACTAGCATTACTACTACTACTACTACTATCACAACTACTAGCATTACTACTACTACAACTACTAGCATTACTACTACTACTACTACTATCACAACTACTAACATTACTACTACTATTACTACTACTACTACAACTACTAGCATTACTACTACTACTACTATCACAACTACTAGCATTACTACTACTATTACTACAACTACTAGCATTACTACTACTATTACTACTACTATCACAACTACTAGCATTACTACTACTATTACTACTACTACAACTACTAGCATTACTACTACTACTACTACTATCACAACTAGCATTACTACTACTACTACTACAACTACTAGCATTGCTACTACTACTACTACTACTATCACAACTACTACTATTACTACTACTACAACTACTAGCATTACTACTACTATTACTACTACTACAACTACTAGCATTACAATTACTATTACTACAACTACAAGTACTACTATCACAACTACTAGCATTACTACTACCATTACTACTACAACTACTAGCATTACTACTACTATTACTACAACTACAAGTACTACTATCTCAACTACTAGCATTACTACTACTATTACTACTACAACTACTAGCATTACTACTACTATTACTACAACTACAAGTACTACTATCACAACTACTAGCATTACTACTACTACAACTACTAGCATTACTACTACTATTACTACTACTACAACTACTAGCATTACTACTACCATTACTACAACTACAAGTACTACTATCACAACTACTACTGTCACAACTACTATTACAACTACTATCACAACTACTATTACTACTAGCAAATAAAGCATATAACACCAGTATTAATTATAAGTATTATCCTCGGCTGGATGACGATATTATCTCGGAATCTGGAGAGAATATCAGAGAATATTTTTTCCTCAGCAATGGATGGTGTGTACAGCATATGTAAGGTCAGAGAAAGTGCTTTTGGATATTATTTCTGCGTCTCAAGAGACGGCTGACTGTTCTTGATCCAAGGGATTGGAAATAAGTCACTCTGGACTAGTTGGGAGTTTATCCTGCTGTATTTTGTGGCAAGGTTTCGCTCTGTTGGAACTTGGTTAAGTTTTGGCCAGTGGGTCTGCTGCAGTGCTCATTAAGTGGATGAGACGTGGACCTGACTGGCTTGGGCCAGTAGGTGACTTGGACTTGCCTAGCATGGGCCAGTAGGTGACTTGGACTTGCCTATCATGGGCCAGTAGGTGATTTGGACTTGCCTATCATGGGCCAGTAGGTGATTTGGACTTGCCTATCATGGGCCAGTAGGTGATTTGGACTTGCCTATCATGGGCCAGTAGGTGATTTGGACCTGCCTAGCGTGTGCCAGCAGGTTACTTAGACCTGCCTAGCATGGGCCAGTAGGTGACTTAGACCTGCCTAGCATATGCCAGTAGGTGATTTGGACCTGCCTAGCATGGGCCAGTAGGTGACTTAGACCTGCCTAGCATATGCCAGTAGGTGATTTGGACCTGCCTAGCATGGGCCAGTACGTGATTTGGACCTGCCTAGCATGGGCCAGTAGGTGACTTAGACCTGCCTAGCATATGCCAGTAGGTGATTTGGACCTGCCTAGCATGGGCCAGTAGGTGATTTGGACCTGCCTAGCATGGGCCAGTAGGTGACTTAGACCTGCCTAGAATGTCCCAGTAGGTGACTTAGACCTGCCTAGCATGGGCCAGTAGGCCTCCTACAGTGCTGCTTCTTACGTTCCTTGTGATCACAGTGTCAGTCTTTTTTCTTAGTCTCCATAGAGGTTAAAATCCCTTAAGATAGCTAGGTTGTGAAGATGTACGGAATTCACACCAGATACGGGTATCAGTCACCTTATATCACGCCAGATACGGGTATCAGTCACCTTATATCACGCCAGATACGGGTATCAGTCACCTTATATCACACCAGATACGGGTATCAGTCACCTTATATCACGCCAGATACGGGTATCAGTCACCTTATATCACACCAGATACGGGTACCAAACACCTTATATCACATCAGATACGGGTATCAGTCACCTTATATCACACCAGATACGGGTATCAGTCACCTTATATCACACCAGATACGGGTATCAGTCACCTTTTATCACACCAGATACGGGTATCAGTCACCTTATATCACACCAGATACGGGTATCAGTCACCTTATATCACACCAGATACGGGTATCAGTCACCTTATATCACACCAGATACGGGTATCAGTCACCTCTTCTTAAGGTACTGCATTAATAACCTATATGTGACAGAGCCTAAACAAGTATGACAGGCCTATTCAGTAGGCTTTTGTCAGTCGAATACAGAGGTGGGGGTGGGAATGGAGAGGTCCAGATGAGGTAGTCAGTCCCTCAACCTTGAAGAAGAGAGGTTGAGGTAGTCAGTCCCTCAACCTTGAAGAAGAGAGGTTGAGGTAGTCAGTCCCTCAACCTTGAAGAAGAGAGGTTGAGGTAGTCAGTCCCTCAACCTTGAAGAAGAGAGGTTGAGGTAGTCAGTCCCTCAACCTTAAATAAGAGAGTTTAAGGTGGTCAGTCCCTCAACCTTAAATAAGAGAGTTTAAGGTGGTCAGTCCCTCAACCTTAAATAAGAGAGTTTAAGGTGGTCAGTCCCTCAACCTTAAATAAGAGAGTTTAAGGTGGTCAGTCCCTCAACCTTAAATAAGAGAGTTTAAGGTGGTCAGTCCCTCAACCTTGAATAAGAGAGTTTAAGGTTCAGTCCCTCAACCTTGAATAAGAGAGTTTAAGGTTCAGTCCCTCAACCTTGAAGAAGAGAGGTTGAGGTAGTCAGTCCCTCAACCTTAAATAAGAGAGTTTAAGGTGGTCAGTCCCTCAACCTTGAAGAAGAGAGGTTGAGGTAGTCAGTCCCTCAACCTTGAAGAAGAGAGGTTGAGGTGGTCAGTCCCTCAACTGGTACCTTCACTTCTCCCAGATGTTCTTTACCTGGAGAGAG